AATGAAATGTGGCATTTAAAGGATGTTTAAAGAAAAATATAAGTCATCGTCATTTTCAGTGCCCTCTCCCGCTTTTATTCCCCATCTGTTTAAAGAAATGAATTTTCATGTGTGGCTGGTTGAGGATGGAGCTGAAATGAATCACCGACAGCCTCTGACCTTGAGATTGATTTATAAAACAAGCCATAAATGAAGTGTAAATATCACACTGCAGGAAGTTTGTAAAAGATCTAAACAGATCGATAAACATGCAGACGTGTTAATATCCTGCGTTCGTGGCTGTCGACCTACCTGAGCATGGCCATGGTGAGCCTTTGGGGGAACATGTGCACGATGAGGGCCCTCAGAGTGTCCAGGCTGGTCAGCTCGTGGGTCAGGTGAACCCTGCGAGTCTCCTCCCCAAGCTGGAGGAACAAGATCCCTGCATTTATGGATGGGGAGGAGCAATGGGGGAGATTCACAGTGGTAGATGGGGGTGGGGTGAAGTTTGGAGTCGGTGATGAAGGCAGAGAGCGTACGAACAATTTTCACCTTAAAGTTTTCAACAGTGTAGAAGCAGCTAATAATCATCCATTTTAGCTGAAAGCACACTGCTTGGCACAATCCCTCCGTTTGCGCTGCTCTTACCGTCTATACAGCAGGCACTTCCCTCGTTACCACCTCCGATCTAAAGCTCTCCATCTCAACGAAACCCATATGTGGGAGCAGGGTGAGAGTACAACATGTTTTACTTTGTTCAGCTTAATTTACTGTTAAAAAAAAGGCAATTAACTAAATTAGTTGGAATAAATACTGAAGACTGAGGTCAAAATCGATATGTTACACAAAATGATTTAATGAATTTTAGTGTTAAGTTCCTGTTTAATTATACGTGGCCTGTATGCTGTGCTGCAGATTGATCTAAATGTCAGTGGTCAGATTGTAAATGTTCCTCCTGCTCACCATTAGTCAGGGTTTCTGCAGTGTTTACCAAATTAAATTCAAGACTTTGTGAGACCTTTTAATGCAACACAAAGGCATTTCATACTTGTTTTACAATAAAACCCGTAGGGTCAACGATAATTTATTAAGTGCATAAATGTATAGACACAGGCGATTTTTTTCGGTGGTGATAACTGACCCAGGATAAGTTAATCTGATGCAGATCTAATGTTGCCAGCAATGTTGCCAATGATGCTCTTGCTTCTGGGCAAAAGAAACGCTGTGTCACAGCGGGGTGCGCCGGTGTGTTTTGTTTATAGGACCCAGAAGTGGATGCAGAGAGGAGTTGCAGGAGTTAACAAAAGGCGAGCCTTTATTTGGCTGTAAGCAGTGGTAAAATATATAACTAAGAAAAACCTATGGACACTATTCAAAGGAGCTTGCAAAGAAAAGCGTCTGGACTTCTTTAAGTTGCTTGAAGACGTTTCACCTCTCATCCAAGAAGCTTCTTCAGTTCTAAGGTCAAATGGCGGAGAGTCCCAGATATAAACCCAGTGGGAGTTTCCCCCCACAGAGGGATAAAGGACCCCCTGATGATCCTCTAATCACATGAGCCAAGGTGTGAAAACAGGTGTGGGTCCCAATCAGGCAGGGTTTCGGGTGAGCTCATTGTGAAAACTGGCCCCACCCACACCAGGAAATCGCATGATAAGGTGAGGTCCTTTTGTCCATCTTTGGGGGGATACTCCCACTGGGTTTACATCTGGGACTCTACGCCATTTGACCTTAGAACTGAAGAAGCTTCTCGGATGAGAGGTGAAACGTCTTCAAGCAACTTAAAGAAGTCCAGACGCTTTTCTTTGCAAGCTCCTTTGACTACGATGACCTGGATGACTGAGAACCTTCACAGACCTATGGACACTATGAGAATGAACACTGTGTAAACGAAGGCTACTGTGAAACACAGTGAGAGCTATGAGGAAAAACCTATAAAGACTGTGCTGACGATAACAGACGACCTGACAATGACATACGGAAAACAGAGGACACGGGAGGTGATCAGGGGAAGTGGGAACACATGGCTGATATGAGCCTAATGACAGGACAGGGGAAGTAAAACTAAATACAATGAACAAAGAACATAAGACTCCTTCAAAATAAAACAGGAAACACGGAGACGTAAATGTGACAATACAAGCTCAGACCTAAAACATATGAGAGACTAGACGAGGACCCACACACAGAAACCAAGGAGACAATGATACATAATGGCTGATTTTAACCTCAACTAAAACCTAAATAAGAATACCACATGAACCATCATCACAAATCTAACATAAGACAAATACCAACTACACTCAGCGCGCTGGATCAGAGACCCAGCCTGTGACACGCTGGGTGGTTAATTTGTGGGTCTTCCAGTGCAAAAGATGGATTTAAGCATCAAGACGTCATGACTTGGTTTTTAGACTCAACAGTGAGCTATGCTTTCGGGTCTACTGACCAAGTTTGATGTCAATAATCAGCACTTCTTTGGCATAACCAGCCTGCACAGGTGTGTGGTCATTAACTTGAAAGGAAAGGTGCTGATGCCTTTGTGTGTGTGATATCACACATTTCAACAGCTTTTAAAAATACTATTCTATGGCTGAAAAACGGGTTCAAACAGCTCTTTTAAGCACACCGTCCATTAAATTGAGCTCAGACTAGTCTATTTTGTGTTTGCCCTGCAACAGGCTGGCGATATGTCCAGCGTGTACCCCGCCTCTCGCCCTGTTTCAGCAGGGATAAGCTCTGTAGATCAGCTGATGTCAGTGCCAGCTAATATTAGCTGACAGTTCAGATGATGCCCATATGCACATCCAATTGAGTAGCTTAAACATGGACCATAATTCAAGCTGCTTCAGCCTGTGCACATTTGGTGTTGATATGCAAGCATCTTTGCAACCCACCTTCACCCCAGCTCCTGTTCATTTTGCAGTTTCTCACTTAAAGAACATATCTGTTTACAGTGGTGCTGGGATAAAAACAACATTACATTTCGACATATTTCTAATGGTTTGTTCTCCTTGTTCCTTTACATTCTGAGATTGTGATGTCTGTTATAAAACATGTAACTGAAAGCGGATCAATAAAAAAAGAATGTGATGGCAGAACAGTTGATGAAATGTATTGATGTACCTAATAAGAGGCTACTATAGCTAAGGCTCACACTGCTGTGCTGTGAAATGCGAAGAGAGCAACACATAATTATCAGCCTCACTTTAAATGGAAGCTGGAATTCCGAGTGGACGCAGTGAAATTCTCACCGACTCCAAGTGCAGAAAGTAAAATTAACACTGACTCAGATGTGTTATAATGTAAAAGGCTCGTTTTTAGAGAACAGTTTAAACCTTTTGAAGGGCGGAGGTGATGGTGAGATATCCCTAAGGATGGAGGCAACTTACACGTTTGGGGTTTTAGCTCACGATTGAGGATAATATAAAAAAAACTGACGCCTGCGCTACCGCCTGGTAAAGCATGAAGAAGAGCAAACATGAAATGAAATGATAGAACGTTTCACAGAGAGTTGATGCTTATCTTAATATGCTGTTTATGTGGTATAAAACTTTTGAAACTCTTGACATTTTTCTGGCTTGTCCTACATTTTCTGTGTCCTGCAAATGCTATAAAGATGCTTTTAAGGAGGAAATGGTTTCGCTTGCTGCCACGGCCATTAATCAAAGACGACAGGTAACTCGGCGAGATCATTTGGAGGCATTAGACAGCTCTGTTTATATTCAGCACTCCTATAGGCAGTGCACTGAAGTCTGACTTTCACTTGACACTCAGAGGGCCTTGCCAGCTTCACTAGATTAACACTCGATGCCTTCAGTCAACTCAAACATTACCTGAAGGAGGACAGTGCCGTACAGGAACAGAGCTAATGTGTCTTGTTTACGGCTGCCTGTCAGAAACATCAAATCAGATTAAGCGAGTGATGGCCGCCCGACGTATCAATCAAAGTGAGGTTGTCAATACACGTCCACAAATGAAGGCTGATAGAAGAAGTGAAAATAAGAGTCAATTAGCTCCGCCTGCTGTGCTGACTGCTGATGAAATGAAACCTCAGTGGACAGATTTGAATCAGTGACTGGAATCAGACAACCTTTACTCTCATATCAAGCTCCAAACATAACCAGGAAGAAAGTGGAGACGAATGGTGAGAATAAAATGTTAAAGGGAATCAGAAAACAGTATCGAATCGCAGCGAAAGCACTAAAATTTGCGTTTCACAGGTCAAACATGTAAAAGGACCTGACGTGTAGTTTGTTTGAGGATCTCGGGAGGGGAAGCTGCTGTGCAAGTAACCAACTGTAGTCAGAAACTTTTCATAAGTCAAGGTAAGCTGTGTCCACAGCTGTGCAGTGGCTCGGTCAGGATGTGCTTATGCTAAGCTCAAACTACAACAGTTTAGAAAGGTTGAATGGGGTTGATGGGTTGAAATTGAGTGAACACATCAAAGCCAGTGCTAACGGTGATTTGGGACTCATTTACAAACATTTTCACACATTTTTGTGACTCCTGGAAATACTTTTAGCAGAGGGATATGCTCGGGTAGAGCGTACACGAGGACACACGATACCCACTTGTTTGTCATAAATTCTGTGGATAATGACTTGTTCTATTCATACAGGTGCTCATTCAGACACCACACAGTACTCCAACCAGCTCCAACTCTGGTTGGATCAAACATTAAACACCGTTTAATGTTTGATCCAACCGAGTCTGACACTTCTATTCTCACGTTCAGCTCCCCTGGGTAATATTTACGAAGCTTCAGGGGTGCAGTGCGTGTCTGAAGGCTCGGGTTATCACTCTCTAATGAGAGGTGGGCAGCCAAACATCCCTCCAGTCCCAGCCCTTCTGTGCGAGTCTGTGAAACCACACTATTTTTTTAAAGATTGAGCTACAGACACTGCTGAATTTTGGCACAGTAGTTCTGACTTGTGCCTTTGAGCGCACCACCAAATGTGACTTAACCTTCAGACCCTCATATAGTTCAATAAAGATAGTAGGACAGTCCCTTGACTCCATTGGTCCTGCTTTACACTTGCTGGGCTGGAGCCAATGACTCGGAAACACCAAGGTCAATCATCACATCACACCTGCGTCAGAGTTTCTGGGCGGTGAAAAAAAACATCTTGGGGGAGCATTGATATCGATAAATGTCTTGTGAGTCAGTTGCTCTACATTTTTCTCTGATTTGAGGATTTCACTGAGCCAATGGGTGCAGCAGTGGGCAAATTTAAGCCAAGAGCTGTTGGCAAAGCTCCCCTTTAATCAAAGGAGTCTCAGTAATGGCCACCAGCAGAGATGTCAGCACAAATAAAGGTTTTTAATCTCAAAAGTGAGTCTAGAAGTAAAAAATAAGCCTCAAATAAAATGAGCTAACATTAAAAAAAAATCAGTACTTGTAACAGTGTTTTTCTCTCAAGCATCACTTCTTTGTAATCATCAATCTGCAGTCAGCAATTTAACTCAGAGTTTGGAGAAGCAGTGGGAACCATCCTTGGAGTAACAAGCTTGTTATCTCTGACCAATCAGCCAAAGAAGTCTGAAAGTGTGACTGCAATAAAAAACAGTAAATGTTATTACTGGGAGATGAATCCTGTCCTGACTTCTCATTTGTGGTTCAAAGAAATGAGAAACAGATTTCACCCGCACAGAGTTTAAAATGACAACTGAGGTGTTTTTTTCCCACTGAAATAACTTACTATTAAAACAACATTACAGAGACTTTATGAATAAACAGGAAAAAGGACAACCACACCCTAAAATGTCAAGATTTTAAACTTTAGTCTGAATAAAAATTTTGCTGAATGAAACTAAAAGCTGTCTGCATAATTGAAGGCTCCAATCTCCTGAAACATCTTTGGATTTTATTGTAGAAAGTTTGTAGTCATCATCGCCGTGAGCAGATTGTACGTGCACATGTCTAACCCCTACATGATCTCATTTATTGCACAGAATCAGAAGGGTTCAAGTCGTTTTCGTCATTTCTGCTGAGTGGATATCACAGATGGGCCTCGACACAATCTAAATATGAGAGATATGAAATTTTTCAATTTTACTCAAAGACAGCGGACTGACCTGGCGCCCGCAGCTTGGCCTGGCTGGACGAGCGGGCCAGCGGCAGGCTCTGGCGGAGCCGGTTCATCCTGTTAAAGCCGATGGGAATATCAGGGTCTGACATGCTCTCCAGATTTTCGGCTGACGCGAAGGATACCCTGCTGGCCTGGTCGGCGAGAGCTGGCTGTGTCGGGCTGAGTCGTGTCACACGTGGCGTGCGAGTCTGCGAGACAGAAGTCGAGAAGTCAGGAGAGAAAAATAAAAGCACGGATGATGCAGAGCGATCAATGAGCTGACACCAAAAACACATGCAGAACAGAAAGCAAACAAAATTGGCCTCGGGAAATCAATGCAAAGAAACAAAAGAGACTGTAAAAACCTGCTTTTAGCACAAATACACACATTTAACCTCAGACAAAGAAGCTTTACGTCTTCATCTACGCACAGAGACTCAAAACAAAGTGAGCCGAAGCCTAAAATTAGAGCAGCTCAGACAGCCAGGTTAAACAAACCCACGAGTCAAACTCAGGGCCGCCTGCGTTAATGGGACACAAAAAACTATTCAAACAATGTTTCCACTAAATGTTCTGATATGTAGGAGGCAGCAGCTGGTGCTGACTGAAATCTTTCTGAAGATGAAATAAGTGGATGATATTCTGCTGGTGGCTCAGAGCACGTGACCGAGAGCCTGGTGGTTTCAAATGCTCCTAAAAAAACTGAGCCAACTGGGGCATTGTGATGCTAATGACCCCAGCAAATCCAAACTCTGGCCTGGACAGCCCCTCTATCTGTAATGCAGATTGCTGCTAATATTTCACCTGTCCAATCTGAAACCACTGGGAAGCCCAAATTGAGAAGGACCTCTCATTACAGCCCTACCAGGAGCTCCTGCAGCAGGTTGGCTTTTAATGAATCCTTACTGACAGACATTTTCCAGCCCAAAGACTACAGTAATGAGCTCCCACAGTGCCACGTGAAGCCAGCCCCAATTGTCTTATGCATCCGTGCTCTTTGCTTAGTCCTCACTAACACTCTATGGGTGCTGTTTGATTTCTGGAGGCTACAGCGGGCCACGCATGTGTGCGCAAACATGTAGGAAACGCCAACAATCACGTCAAAAGACATCAAATCTGAGGATAAAATGCACACTTACAGTCTGCTCCACTAAATTATCTCTTGGGGGTTTGCTCTTTCTTCATTAATATCATTTCAAGAGTCCTTTAAATTAAAAAAAAATGGCGAAACACATGCACCCACATGTCTTTTAACACCGAGAACAGGCTGACAGACTATGTGTGCCTCCTCTCATATGTTTGGAGATTTACGGTCTCGGAGTGCGCTCGACAGCCAGACACTGCACACCTTCTGCCTTCCAGCGCACAAGAATCAAGCTGGCGGGGAGAAAAGAGCCGGGAATTATAAAGTTTGTGTTCAGCGAATCGTGAAGGGAAGAAGGGAAAAAGAGCAGATAAGGGTTAGAAACAGAGCGTATATTCACCAGAGAAAGGGGAGAGTAAACAGAGTAAAAAAGATTTTCTCTTTTAATTTCGGTTAACAGACAGACGTGAAGCTTGGCTGAATGTTTAACTCCGCCGTTTTATTTTCCACAGTAACAGTCAATAAAGCTTCCCACAGGATCTCTCCCAGAGGACCTCCTCCCTCACACTCCCCTCACAAGACTCATTAAAATGACTTTGGCTGCAGTGATAAGCTGGGCAAAGAAACACATGCACAGTGATATATTTTTCAAATCTCATGGAAAGCGTGATCAATTTTCACATCTGAAGTGTACATAAAATTGATTTGTGTAATGCTAAGGCCTCGAGAGAGCCAGAGAACCTCTGAAAGGTCGGATAACGCTAAATCAGATATATAAATAAATAAAAAAAATCAGATGTTTCAAAGAAAAGTGCTCTTAGCAATTCTGAAATTATGACAAGTGCTCTTTTTATTGCCTGTTCTTCCAAGTAATTCGTTTTTACACTGAAGTGATTAAAAGCAACTCTTTTCATCTCGTGCTTTACTGAAATCATTTCTGATGTCGAGGCGTAGCATCAAAGGCTAAATGATGTGTGGGTTCTGAAGGAGAAAGGTTCAGCCCGCATACTGACAAACACTTTAGAGGCAGAAACACCATCTCCATTCCAATAACAGCGCCCATAATCCAGGGAGACGTTCTGGATGGACGCTTGTGTCTGTGATCTCTTTCTTTCAGTCACTAGCGAGAGCTCATAACCATAACTGAGAGTGAGGAACAAAAATCGACAGCTTCACCTCCACACTCAGCCCGCTCTTCACCACAGCAGACCAGTGTTGCATCAGCACATCAGTGCAGATGCCGAACCAACACATAGTTAGTCTCTCCTTCCTTCTTCCCCCGATTCATGAACAAGGCCCCGTGATACTCGGGGTACCAACTCATCCCCAACAGAATAATAAAATGCAATAATTCGACTCACTAAATCTGACTCACAAACCTCTTGGATGGTCTGTTTCACACAGCAGCCCACAGGAATGGTGAAATAATTTCATTAAAATGCTCCAGAAAGCACCATCAGTGCAAACACAGTAGAGTGTTTCAGTTCAGTGACTTGATCTTATACACAAACCACATAACCTTTAGTTCGTCTTCTGCCTGACTCAGTGACAAGCTGCTGCTTTACTCTACTACTCCAACAGAGTTTTTTTTTTTAGCCATCACTACTTACATTGTTTTTGCATTAACTAAGTGACCAGTTTATGAATCCTCCCTGCTGAGGTGCAGGACACACCAAATAAACTGTGAATGATTATTATTACACACACTGGGAACGGTGGCAGCAGCAGGGCTCCAGCAGGGGTGGAAGAGCGTTGCTCCTCCTGGCCAGACGGTGAGCACACTGAACCCCAAGTTGTTGCTCTGTGAATGAATTATTAAGTGATGTGTTCATAAAGTGATGTGTTTATACAGTGATGTGTTTCAGACATGTCCAGCTTGGAGGAGACCCCAGGGCATGCTGGAGAAATTACAGCAGAAGTCCTGGAAGGATGGATGGTTTACAACTCGGCGCTAATTAGCAGGCGTTTGTGGCTTGCTCATATACAATTCATGAACACAGCTTGCTAATCAAGCTTGTTAGCATTAGCTCTTCAAAATAAGGATAAGCTATTGTTTTACATAAAAAATGATTCCTAATATGAATAAAATGGGTTACTCGCTCAGTGAAACCCGGGACAGGCTCCAGCCCTGCTGAGACACTGGACTGACTGATTGCAGTCAATAAATTTTGTCCTTATCTCTGTTTAGCTTGAATATATTCAGGTTCCTTGCTTAAGGAGGCATTCTCAGAGTCTTATTACTCTGCAATGGACACAAAGGTCTGTGAAGTCGATCCAGCTACACAGAGTGCTTTAAACATCAGTCTTCCCTGAAAGCTGAAGCATCCAGTGCATACGTTTTCTTGCATGAGAGATTCAATGAATTTCATGAGCGCAGAAGGGCGGTGCACATAATCACATGGCTTTCTCTTTCAAATTGAACTGTAATCACTGAAGGAAGACAACGTGGATAATTTCACTTGTTCCACCTTTGTCAGACTATATGAGCCGTTACAGAATAAAACTGTCAACTTTCCATTAATACATTTTTTATGTAGAAAATGCTCCTCAGTGTTGTACTGCAAAGGATAGCCTGGTTTATTCCAGGCACCTGCAGTTTGAGCTCATGTCTTTTTAAATGTACTCGTGTAAACCCGGCTTTCAATTGCACCAAACCAACAATTTGATACCAGCACAGATGGAAATGTGTGGGCTTTATCACTATTTAATGACTAAAGAAAAAAACACCAGATTCAGACCATGATGCATTACCTGCGCAGGACTCTACAGTCCTGTGTGAAACACAGTCTGTGGTTCAACAGCTTGTAACACGAGGCAGTAACTTAAAAAACCTGCTTTCTCCCTGACTTTATCAGTAACGAGCCACTTCTTATCTGTCACATGAAATATGATATATTAATTTAAGTGGAAATCAATTTAATATCTTGAAACATTAGTCATCTGCTGTGTCTTTTTTTCCATGACAATAAACAAGCAGCTGGCTGCTCACCAGGTCTGTTCCTACTGCCAACACGGGGAGAGGTGAACTCTGTGCGATGTTATGATCACGGCAACAATCCTGAGCCAACAAAATCACCCTGATTATTTAAAATGGAAGAATGATGTGGGAAAAATGGTGACTTGGTTGGCTATTGTTGGATATCAATTTTGGCTCAGCTATTTCTGTGTCAAGGCACCTCAGACCTCTGTCTGACCTTTTATCCCCACCTGAGCACCATATTTAATCATTCCTGTGCTGTTCTACTGTTTTAAAACTCCCCCAGTGATCCTCCAGAGACCAGCAGGAATCTCTGCAGGGATCTCTGCAGGGATCTGGGCGAATGTGGTGGGAATGCAGACAGTTCAAGTGTCAAGGTGCCCCTCGAGCTCTGTCACATGACTGGCAGGACTCCAGGATTCCTTAAAACTAACATTTTCTCACTAATTAGCTCATTTAGGCATATAGAAGTGGTCAAGAGGACCTGCTAAGTAGAAGGAAATAGAGAGCAAAGGTGATTTTTAGTGACTTTGAAGGGGGGCGTGGTTCTTGGTGCCAGACTGGCTGCTCAGAAACTGCAGATCTACTGGGATTTCCCCACACAACCATCTCTTGGTACAGAGAACAGTTTGAAAAAGAGAAAATATCAAGTGAGGAGCAGAGTGTGAATATTTTGATTTTTAATCTTTTTTAACAGCCTTTCTGGTGTCATGGTGGCAAGTGTGCATTTGACATTTTTGTAAGTGTTATAGAAAACAACATTTATTCTTTGCAGGAAAGAAAATGACAGATTGAGGTTTTTACCTCAGTGCGAGCTGAAACATGACTCTCAGTTCAGCTAATGTTAAACAATTTCAGTTAATACCAGGCAGAAAAAACGTGTGGTGTTATTAAGAGTATGAATCAAGTTAAACACAATATCGTGCTACTTATAACTTAAAAACCTCTCACTGAGTTTTTGAAAAGATTTACACTAAATAGCATGTTCCATTCAGCACAGTTGACCCTTACCTCTACTTCCAGATTCTTGTTTAAAAGCATGAAAAGAGCTTCAGCTTCATTAGCTCCTCACCTTGATCTCTTTAGAGGCTTCTGTAAAAATATTCACAGCTCTTTCTGATGCTTTCCAAACCTCAGTGTGGCAACTC